TCCAGGCCAAAGAAATCAGAAACTGTAAGATCAACCACTAAAACGAAGGCGGAGGAGGAGACAATTGTAGCCGTGTAAACATACAGTGGAAGTACAGTTCTACAGGAGGCCTGTGAGTCTGTGGTTGACATCTCACTTTTTAAATAATGTTTTTTTAATGGCTCATGGCTATGTAAGCCAATATCCTGTCGGTCACAATCCACACAGAAATTTCTCCTCAATATAGCGCATTCTTTGTCTGGGTGGATGTAGTCGAGCACCTGGGCCGTGGGTCATTCACTCACAGACTGACTGCAGCTATATACAACACATGCCCCAGACAGAGTGGCTAGACAAAGACATGGACTCAGCGGAGTCGTGTCTGGATTCGAAAACAGTGTTCGCTCCTGCAGTGACAGATGGGATAGGAGGCAACGGCAGACATACACCTCACATGCAGACAAGAGCTGCCATCTTTGACCAGAGGGCACTGACCTTTAGAGCAATACAGTCCAATTAGAATTTCTACGATGTAGTCAGAGAAATGAAACATATACAGTATCATATTTTCATTCTTGTGAAAATAATTATTAGCTACTATTTCATACTGAAAACCCATAACCATGCTGAAAACGCATAACCCATAACCTGTATAGCCAACACATTAACAACAAATCTGAACTAGGGCTACATGATTAAGTAATGTCGAAATCGCAATATGGCTTAGTGCACAACATGCGCCAACCATCTTCTCAAACTTACTATGAGAAACGTTCATAAACCTGCTGTGGTCAATAAAAGAGAAGATTTAATGGTTCCCTGTGTTGCCCTTTAGCAACTGCATAGCAATGACCTGGAAACCAGTCCGATCGCATGATCATTGTGGTGGCATATTTTGCATTGTCGAAGAAAGCTAATTTTTGTGAGAAAATGATTTAATTTCTAGTTATTTCTCTCAAAACTATTGCAAACATTTTTAGGATTAAAAATCAGTCCAGGTTTTAGGTTGCATAAGACTAAAGACCACCTAGTAAACTGACCCGTAGACCACAAGAAATTTTAACATTCACCGGTCTGAATCTCATCCTAAATCTATCCATCTTCAGCAAATATTTATCTTTTAGATGCAGAGAGGCCATCCAGATTCCCCACACCCATCCTTAAAATGCCAATGTCACCTACCAAACAAAAGAACAGGAGGAGGCCCAAGTTAACCCTCTCTTCTATTCCTCATTCCATCTTAATTATTTCCATTTTCTATCTCAAAGACATCCAGGACCGCCTGCAGGTGTTGTGGCAAGCAAACAGTCAATTCTTGTTCTGTTTCAACTATAATCGCTCTTTCCCAATAATCTGAAATGAATATTCCTCAGTCAGATAAAAGTTTGGTTAAAACACAGCCGGGGCAAAATAAATGAATCATGAGAGATCATTGTGATTGGGATCAGATCTAAAAGCCTTGTCTTTGTGAACATGGAGGTGATTGACAGGTATGACAGCCAAAGGCAAAAAGCACATAGTGTAAAGCCCAGTAAAGTCAATATTGCCCTCATAAGATTACATGAGAGTGGTCTGTGTGTCAATATCAAGTATAGACATGCATTTGTCTGGAAATATGACACTGGGCATCAGTTGAATGACACAAACCAGACATGTATCATATAACCCATATTTTACATATGTGAAATATTTTTGCAGAAACTGAATCTTTCATCTACTCGTTTTGTTAATATGAGTGTTTTGGTACTCATCGCATTAAATCAATAATGCATGAGGCCTGAATCACACTGTGTTGAGGTTGCGGTATGACCTCATCTCTGTGGTACTTCATACTCCAGTCTTCCCACAGCCCTTCATTCACTAATTTACTGTATATTTACTTCTTTTTGTTATGACAAATGACACACCGTCATGACATATCGACTCTCAAAGAAAGGCCTAGAAGTTCAATTATGAAAAGCTTTCTCTTCCCAGCCAGTCAAGAAGTTCACCTCCTGTTTTATGGTATACTGCCTTAGTCAGCTATTCCTCAAGACATTCATCTCAACATCTCTCCATGCCATGTGCACTTTAAGACATCCTGCCACAGTCTGAAGGTTTTGGAAAGCCTAGCTCTGTCAAACTAACAAATGTGTGTGCAAAAACAAACAAAAAAGCTTTCACTTGTGTTCATTAAAATGAGTTCAACTTTGCCACTCACACAAATCAGAGTACATCACAATAGGACACACTCCAGTTGATCTAACGCCATCCCTTCAACCAACATTTCACACTGAGGTTCCCAGCCAGTGGCCAGAGTATCTGAAATTTTGTTGCGCTGTGTGAAGACTGAGGTCAGACTGGGAGCGGAGGCCAAACTAAACCTGCCACTGACACTTTCTCTACACTCTAAGCCAGGGGTTCTGAACGCTGGCCCTCGATGTTCACTTTCCTGCAGAGTTTAGCTCCAACTCTTATCAACCACACCTGAACAAGCTAATCAAGATCTTCAGGATTACTAGAAAGTTAGTAGCAGATGAGTTTGTTCAAGGTTGGAGGTAAACTCTGCAGTAAAGTGGACCTCGAGGGCCAGAGTTGAGAACCCCTGCTCTAAGCACTGACCAAATGCACCGCTTAACAAAGGGACTTTACCCTGCTCATATTTTCCTAGGTGGCATAAGATGTGGTTCAGGATGTGGTTGGCTTTGATATTTTGTTATAGTGCATTTTTATTAGCGCAATTGTTTATCACTCCATTCCATCTCCTCCTTGCTCCATTCCAGATTTTGATTGTGTTAGTTCACCTGAATTTCCCAATTTAACCCCTAGTTAGAGTGAATCTCATGACATCCCTCTTGTAGCATATAGACCAATAATTGGCTGCCTTGCTGTCAAAGCACCAATTCCCTGCTGAGAATCAACCTATAGAAAGTTTCCGACCAGTCATTCACTTTATGATTAACCTGAGCCAAGCAGAATTGTAATGTTTATTTGCTTCAAATTACAGACTAGTCAAAAACACATTTTCTTCAGTGAGTGACAGTACGATTTCTGCAGTCTAAATTGGTCAGCCAAGCAAAAACAGAGAAGAACTCTTTCTTACAGCCTGACAGAATGAAAGTTTTCCTTTGTATATCTTGCTGATGTCTACAGTCGGTTATATAATATAATTGAACTGAATTAAGCTGGATGTCTCACTTCAAAAAAATTTACCAACTCTAAACTTTTGAATGGTAGTATATATTATGTATATCTAACTCCTCATTCTATATATTTATTAAATAACAGCATGTCAATTGTGATGAGACCTTCCAAAGTTATGGTCATCTTGATTTTTTATTGGATGTATTCAAACATTATTCATGGAAGAAATGTGACTTGACTTCGGTCATTAGTTCAATGCAGGCAGTATTATATATATATATATATATACACCATTGGCAAATTGGCATTTTTTCCTGTATTAAGCATGAACCTCACAAAACTAAATATTGAATAAACAGCGATTTTTCTTCTCAAGTAGATTTATCCTGTTTTAAGAGGTGTAGATTTTTATATTTACTCCACCCTTTTCACACAGAATTAAAATGTCCCACTCTTAAATACTGAAAGGTTTATGTGCCGAGGTCTCCGTGGACCAGTTATTCTAATATTTTCAAACCAAACGATTGGGGGCAATAGATAAACATTGAGCTGGATCTGAATCCCAGACATTCCCGTCTATGCAACTGCTCAATGTGCCTCTGTATATGTGAGTGTGTGTGTGTGTGTGTGTGTGTGTGTGTGTGCATTTTTGTGACAAATGAGGACATAAATTTGTATAATGACAAAGGTATGACATAGGTATTACAAGGAGAAGGTGACTTTTCAGGACATTACCCCATGTCCCCACTTTTCAAAACGCTTATAAGTCACACAGAATGGAGTGTATTGAAAATCTGAAATAGCACAAAGTTTCCTGTAAGGGGTAGGTTTAGGGGTAGGGTTGGTGTAGGGCAATAGAATATATGGTCTGTACAGTATAAAAACCATTACCCCTATGGGATGTCCCCACTTTTCACAAAAACAAACCTGTGTGTGTGTGTGTGTATGTGTGTGTGTGCTTGTATATATTCTTGCCTCTGCATATGACGGTGTCTCTGTTTGCACACTCAAGTATTCATAGGACTGCTAAGCACTCCAATAGGACCTCCACACAGTGACTCTCCTTCACAAAAGCCACTTGACGTGAAACCAGCCTGGTTCAGGAAGCCCAACCCAACACAGCCTCCAAAACCCCCCACCTGACTCAGTGCAAGCCAGCCGTTTGAACACTGAACCTTCATTCACCTCCCTCCGTATACATCCACTGATTCCTCGCCCACCACAAATAACCTTTAATGATGTCATAATGTGTTACACTTCACTGTCATCAGCATATAATGAGGGAACAATTATTAGTCATTTTTTAATTTTAGCCGTTATAAACGTTAGCAACAGACCACAAGCATCGCTGAACTAACAAGAGCTCTGTGTGTTTTCCAGAATAAACAAGTGTTTTCCTCCCATTAATAGGAACCAGAGAGTGGACTCACAGTGTTGGGCATCCACTGCAGTACTATTACAGTTTCCTGTAACAACCAGACTGAAAAAAACATTAACAGCTTCCCATGTACCTCACTGGAGTTTTACTGGACCATACTGTGGTCTTTTTCCTTAATAGAAATATTGGAAAATGTTTGTAATTTCCTTGCACTATTGAATAATGAACAGATCACAGTGGAGGGTGGGTCTCCATCCAATCCAAACAACTGTGGCAGTCCTCTGTTTTGTTAAACCCAAACAAGTGCTTCAAGCACAGTCATGTGCTTGCTGGAGCTGGAGCTGGAGCCCCTCATTCACAGTTTTTTCCTCCTTTGTTATCCCTGTCACTCTGGCTACAGGGAGTTTAATGGATTTTAGCCTTCTCTTCCACCTCATGTCAGTGATACAAGTCAGTGAGGCTGTGTGCGCACACTGCATGATTGCAAAACTGCGTAATTATGGGATTATGAGAGACTTACCTGTTTGCAACAAGCCTGCTCCGCTGTCGCCAACCTCGAAGTGTTTCTGGATGTCAAGGAGGACACCTGGGAAAAAGAGACAGAGAGAGATTAGAATTTGTGCTCTGATGTAAATTTTGGCCCTTAAGCGCAACAATTTGTGTTAAGATTATTTGAGTCTCTTTCTGTAGAAATAATTACCAAATGAACTTTCAGACATCTTGTGTGCAAAGCATTTTAAAGAATTACAAATATTGACAGGTATTTCTTATTATATTTCCTTGTGATCCTCAATAACAGGACAATTATAGGCTTATGTGGGGTCCTACGGATGAACACACACACACTTCTACTCTGGGCTGAAGTCAGCGTGTTTTTAATTGACTTTCTTAATAAATGTTCCTGGTCTTATTGTAGATGATTTACTGGTGCACATTATTAACAGTAAATGTAATCTTTCATCAAAAATAGTGGTGCATTGATATTAAAATTCTGGCCATAATGATAAGCTGCTAATTTTTTCCAGGTTAATTTCTTCCCTATTTTGAATAAATGAAAAATAATAACTTTATAATAATTTGTTTTTAAATGCTACAAGTAAATTTAGGAATCTAAACACTATAATGTGGTATGCAAAATATGGATATTAATTTTGAGATTTGATAAGATTATATTCAAAAGTATGTTATATATAAAAAATGTAAAACAAATGAATTTATAAGTAACTAATTCATATAATTTAATAAAATATAAAAAAAAAATTTAATGCTTTGAAAAACTCTAACATATAACAAAACAAAAAAATTACATATAAATAAATTATGCTCGAATATAAAATGCAAATGTCTTGTTGTGTTGAAGCATAACAAAGGCATTTGTATGTCCTCAGAACAAAAACGAAAAGAGAAAGAAACGCACTTTGAATGTAGCTTGAGTTGCAGACAGTAAGGAAAGACACTGGCTGCGCTGGAATGCGAGCAGGTGGCGTGACTTGTGTGACAGGAATGTTGCATTTGTCACATGTGTGGACATGCCTGCACCTGCCAAAGTGCTTCTTCTCAGAACGTCTTTGCTACAACGTGCCAGTGACAAGTCAAAACGGGTGGCGATGAGAAACCACGAACCGATCGAGGCGAAACTCAAAGATGACTAAAGCCACTGCCACAATAGAAACAAATCGCTATTTTTATTTCTCACAGCCACTCCTGTGTTATGTGTCTGTGTTTGTACAAGACCTTAAAAAGCATGACGTAATTAGCCAGGCAGCGCTGAGAAGTTAATTAAGAGACAGTTCGATGGCATTAGGTGTTTGATCTGGGTGCGTGAAGCAGATGTCTTTCTCTCTGCCTCTATTCGTACAAGACTGTTCAATGATTTAGAGAGATGTAACATCAGAGATAACGTCAAGCATGCTGGATCTCTATCGCTCTTGTCTAATTTCATTGGCTGTCAGTCACAGACACTGTTTACAGCCTCTCCTGCATTTAGAAGTGTCTGAATGCTGTGCGTTTTTCACAAATAGAAGATCAAAGCGTACGTCTGAGAAGAGTTAGACAGTTAAAGAGCTCCAGAGGCTTAATTTCTCACTTTAAAGTGATCAGAAAGAAGGAATGTGGAGATGAGAGACTGATGATTTAAAGGCAGCAACACGAAAGCTTCAATTACACTAAAAAGGGAGTAATGCCCTGATCAAGAGCTCTTCAGACTCCTGGCCAAAACACACACAGATGATGTGTCAGATGATACAAAAGATGAGGCATGAGGCATCTTCAAAAAATCATTACTAATGAACTGATTAAAATTAGACATTTTGATTGGTAACACTTTATAATAACTTTCATTAATAAATCATTAACATTAAATAATGCCTAATGGGTCATTAGTTAATATATATTCAAAGACTTAGAAACGTGAGATAATGTGCTTGTTAATGTTTGCTAATAATGAAGTTATGTTACCAGTATTTTTTATTGTTATTTCATGTAACCTAATATAGTTAACTAATGTTACCAAACAGGACATTATTGTAAATTGCTACCAAAAAAAAAGTATTTCTAAAATTCAAAAAATCTTTTTAACTATTATACAACTATTAATTCAATAACACTGTTAAATGTAAATTTTTAGCACAGAGTTCATGAACCCCTGGAGGTTTATGTGTTTATGAAAAGCTAATAATTCATTAAAAATCAATCAAATCACTAACTAAAAAACTAATGGGTCATTAGTTAATATATATTCAAAGAGTTAGAAACGTGAGATAATGTGCTTGTTAATGTTTGCTAATAATGAAGTTATGTTACCAGTATTTTTTATTGTTATTTCATGTAACCTAATATAGTTAACTAATGTTACCAAACAGGACATTATTGTAAATTGCTACCAAAAAAAAAAGTATTTCTAAAATTCAAAAAATCTTTTTAACTATTATACAACTATTAATTCAATAACACTGTTAAATGTAAATTTAAATTTTTAGCGCAGAGTTCATGAACCCCTGGAGGTTTATGTGTTTATGAAAAGCTAATAATTCATTAAAAAATATAATAATAATATGAAATTAAAGAAATAATTTGAATTAAAAATCAATCAAATCACTAACTAAAAAAATATTTTAATTGTTCAGTTGCATGTTAGTGCATGGTTAAATTATTGAAATCTTAACTTAATTAGCACAGAGTTCATGAACCCCTGGAGGTTTATGTGTTTATGAAAAGCTAATAATTCATTAAAAATCAATCAAATCACTAACTAAAAAAATATTTTAATTGTTCAGTTGCATGTTAGTGCATGGTTAAATTATTGAAATCTTAACTTAAAACCCCAGGGGAGTACTTCAAGTAAAATATTTTAGGTCAAAGACATTCATCTGACAGAAAAGATTGGGAATCTCTTTTCAATCCCTTGTAGTACCTGATGTATTTTTCTTATCAGTTCCTGTGAAATGTCTTGATTTGGATATGGGTAGATATGGGGGGCGTTGGCTTTCTGCAATCCTTCTCTAAGCTCAGGAGCGGGTATTCCCGCCCTCTTTTCATCAGTCTAATCTGAGGCAGTGTACTAATTACCTTGGTCACACTCCTCCGTTGCCCCCATCCCTCAATCCCTCCATCTCTCCCTCTCCTCCCACTGGGAGGGGGATCCCTGTGCCAGATGGTGCTGCGTTTCACCTCTTTCAACCGAGACTGCACCCACCCTCACGCCTGCCAAATACACAACCTCAACCACCACACTCTTCCCAGCAAAACTCCCACATGCACAGTCAATGCAAACCATGTAACAATATGATTTAGTATGTCCTTATTTAACATGATAAAGTAAGGACTTTTAACTGGAAGAGACTGTTACTAGTAGGTCAGTGTGTGCACAGTGCAACACCAGACCATGACAGCAACTGTCATATTAGTGAATTATGTTCTGTGTTTGGCAGGCGATGCTGTCCGTATGTGATTTGCCCTAAATTCTTCTCTCTATCTTCTCTTCTGGCTCTCTGATAAAGATACACTGTTTGGGGAAAACATGGCAACACCTTGAAACTTTTCAGAGAGAGCTGTCATGAAGCATTTGAGGTGCAGCCGCTCTGTCTACATGTTGCATCATTCTGTAAAATGGTAGGCAATGTGGGCGATGCCACACAAGGTGATGCAAATGCCCCAAATGGCAACAGTAGAATCATCGACCTTCTAGTGTCCGCCTTGATGCCGCCAACCCTGAGGTGTTGCCATAGTAACATGGCAGGGGCACACACACACACACACAGAGGAGGGAAAGGCTGACTGGCGATTGGTCAAGTCAGCTTGATGAGGGTGGAATAAGGAACTCAGCAATAATAAAGAAATTCTTGCTTAGCAAAAACTTTATCTGATTCCTACATGGAAAAGATCTGTCAGGTTTGGCTGATACAGTCACCTGCTTTGCACTTTGTTGCAGTCTATTTTAAAGCTGCTTTACCAAAATGAAAAAAACGCAACAGATACTAAGAGGCAAAAGAATGCTGTCCTGCCTGTTGTGACTGATCTGTTGCATACAAAACACATAACTGAATGACTATGAAAACCAACAGCCATTGAACAGATTGTAACATTACAGCATAACTCTGCATAAGTTTGACTGAGATATAATCAGTTTTCTAAATGAAGAAATCTGCTCAGATGATCGCAAATAAACTTGTTTTACCTGATAACAGATAAATGCACTTGGAGGAAATTGACGTTTTGGAAAATGGAAGAAGTTTTATGTTTGTATATTTTGATATACATCAGACCAGTGGACTGACCAATGTTTGAAAAAGCTCAGAAGGTTAGGATGAGCTAATCAGTTCTGTTAATGCATCTAGCGCTATTTCAAATCTCAGGGGAGTTCTTTGGAGTGAAGCTGTTTAATGGATCCTGGAAGCTGGAGGAGCAGCCCTCCTGCATTTGATTTGCATGTGACGGTGTGATACTATCTTAGACATACATTGTTTGGACCCATATTTGTCTGATCTGATAAGGGGGAGTCAGGCTGTGAGTTTAAGTGCTTGTTTGGGTTGAGTGTTTTCTTAAAGAGTATGAGCTCATCCATGCCAAGAAAGGCCAAGGGGTTTGAATTTTGATATACTAACCTAGTCTGAGGTGAACTGGCTATGTCAAAATGTTTTTGAGTGTGTGAGAAACCATCTACATTATAAACAATCCATTCACTTAAATAGGAAGTGGTTCACCGGCTGAAATTCCAATACGGTCAAATCCTGAAACGCAAACATCACCTATTCATCTGTCAGAAGCGCAAACAATGGCAAACATTTTTCTTACGATCCAGACACAAAATATCATTAAATGGAAATACTGCATTATTGCATACAACACCCTGTACTTATTTTTATAAACACACAGTATAGACCCCGAGGACTGTCTGGTCGTCTGGGGAGAAAGAACAAAAACGAGAATCATTGAGTAATAGGACACACCTAATTTTGCAATGCCCAAAAGAGAGACGATAGACCTGAGCAACCCCTGCTGCTATTTCAGGACTGGGAGAAGTAGGTAAGGATAAAGGCTTAGCAACAGAGGCTGGCCGCCCTATATACTGTAACTGAGAAGATGAGG